CAAGGTTTATTATTTTTTTTACAGGATGGGGTTGCTAGCCTCATGTCCAACCTTTTCCTCTTCACCAGTCTTATTACTGGTTTAGCGAGGTAAAGGAGTGCGTCCAGTGGCCGGGGATCGAACCCCGGACCATGTGCGTTGGTGGCACAGCGGTTAAGACGCTCGCCAACCATGCGCATGGTCCACTTATGTTGTAATGTTTTACTACTATAAACTGCAAATTGTTAAAATTTTTATCAGTGCGAATAGCTCAGGAGTAACTTCTTTGGTTTCAAAACTAGTAGTAAAATGCATTCATAAAGTCTGTATAGAAGAATCCAAAGTAATAGAAACCTACTCTGACGATCACCTTGGTATATCCAATTGTAGATAGATAAATTGGCACAAAATAAACTAGATGGAAGATCAAAGATCCTGTGAAGTTACCCATAATTACACAAATACTTCTGTCTATTCAAAATCAGAAACTTGATCATCAAGACATGTAATAGAGTTTTGTGGTGTTATTTGTTTAGTCCTAAATGCTGGAAGAATATTTATTACACAAGATTTGGATATTTCTGAGACATAATTCTATGAACTGGTTTGGTTCAAAATGAAGCTTTCAGTCAAGCTCTAGTCATTATTTTCTGTGGCATTTTATAGACGATAGTTAGAATGCTTTAGAAGGCTTCTACTCAATACTTAAGTGAAATAGGAAAATATCTGTAGTAATCGAACCCGGATCACTTGGGTGGCTGGTACGCTATATATCATTCAGTAAATCATCAACGCGATGTACAGTAATAATTACTCATTCTTCAATGAACACAATTATCAAGACAAGGGTTGAACGTATTTCTTTTGGATACATAGCGTGGGTTTGAGCTTTTGGATGACTAGTGCCGTGGCTATGCCCAGATGTCTTCATTTTACTCCCTTTGATAGCTTTGATCGAATCTTGCATATTATTTTGAAGGATTTTTCGAATGGCGCTGAATGTGCTAAATTGACTAGATGTTCTGTCACTGTCGTAAACACTATCCAGCTTGGCTAGTTAAAGGAGAACGAAAATGTGTATATAGTTCAGTGACAGAACATCTAGTCAATTTAGCACATTCAGCGCCATTCGAAAAATCCTTCAAAATAATATGCAAGATTCAATCAAAGCTATCAAAGGGAGTAAAATGAAGACATCTGGGCATGGCCACGGCACTAGTCATCCAAAAGCTCAAACCCACGCTATAATTATCAAGACGCTAGTTCAGCTCTCAATGCGATTTAGATTTTCTCGCCAACTCGGTTAAATAAACGCCACTCTGAGATAGTTTTGGTAACACAGAGTTATTCTGAAAGTTGCTTAAAGTAGCGTCTCATTCATTTGTACAATTATAAACTGTAAAAAAACGAAATGATTTATCAGTATCTTTGCATAAAATTTGCACATTATCTAAACGCTTATGAAAGTTGTCTTGGTGACTCTTCAGTTGAGAATCTTTCATTACGCAATTTTCGAAAATATAACAAAGGTTAGCTGTTTGAAGTGTGTGTCCACTCACTAGACGCACCCACGAACATACACACACACAGGCAGACATTGCATACCTCTGCATACCATTGTTCAGTGATTTATACTTTTCACATTATAATTTGTAAGAAACATACCATTTTTATGCATATAAATGCTGCATACACCTTGTGTTTACGGTGAACAAGTTGACAAACAAAATTGCTGTTATGGTTACGTGAGAAAAGAGGAATTTGCTTATTATGTGTTTCATATCTTTTGCGAATTACGGCAACTAAGATGTAAACAGAGCAATGTCATTATTACACACTTTTCTTTGATAATGTGGTGAAATCAAAGCAATTGAAAATCGTGTGGGAGATAAGGGTGTAAGTATGTATGTGAACGAAGACACCTGGATGGTAACTGTGACTGTTTCCTATCTATTTTTAATAATGTCGAGTTCTCTAACACTACACTTGGTATAAGATTGACAGTATTGAAAAGCTGACCTTGGAATTTGTATCTACCAGATAAATGGTTTTCTATCGAAACTGTTCTGTTATAATGTTATCTAACTATGAGAATGAGTGACATATGTTAGGATCTTTAAATGAGCTTCTGCTTCGTAATGAATAATAATAAAAGGACTAACTATGAAGTTTAAAGTAAGCCATGGTTCTCATTGATTGTATCGGAATATTTAACAAGGTTAATAATAATAGTTGAAGGGAATCCGAGAACTAACAAATTACTGGTCCCGCAGTTTACTTACTGAATTATGAGTTGTTTCATTTCGCACGGGACGTCATCTGGACATTTTATTGGCCGATTCACTAAGTCCTAGGACAGTGATCTAACAAGTACTGATTCTTAATCTAATGCGACTAATAGTTTCATTTGAACCTTAGTCGTCCTCTGTGTTACATGAACACCATACTGACAGTCTAAAATGACTGTTCAAATGTTGGTTTGTAGGGATTTGATTGGTTATGTCATTATGAGCTCACATTAGTTAGAGAACCATTGGAAAACCTTCAAGGAGTACTGGATAGCTGTTTCGTTCTAGTTTGGGACTCTTCAGCAATACGCACGCACCGGGATTTGAACCCAGGACCTTCCGATTACAAGGCGAGCTCGTAATTGTATTAGTGTGATGGCTTTCAAATTACTCGGTTAAATGAAGCTGAAGTTAGTTTATCAATCATCTTACCTTAGATAGCACTTCCATATTAATTTCTTTTGAGTACTAGTTGATTGGTAGGTGTACTCAATACTCAGCTGTTTGTTCATGAAATCAAAGGGCTCTTCATCCAACAAGAGACAGGCACGTTACACAAATAGACAATAAATATGAGTTAGCATATAAACACATCTCTTATTACTTCATTGTTTGCTGTTTTGTATCAAGCCATCCCATGTACATGTGCGTCGGTGGCATAGCGGTTAGGACGCTCGCCGACCATGCACACGGTCCGGCGTTCAATCCCCGGTCGGTGCACTCCTTTACCTCTCTCAGCGAGAAGTAAAGCTGGTGAAGAGGAAAGGTTGGGCATGAGGCTAGCAACCCCATCCTGTAAAAATAAACACTTCTACAGAAACTTCAAGGCTCTTGCTTGAAGCCCTACGTTTCACTGGGAACGTGAAGGAAAAAAAAATCCTATTTACATAAGATTTATGTTATGTGAAACGCATGTTTTACATAATGCGATTCGTCAATCTTTGACTATAACACCCATAGATGATTACTCAGTTGCCTGCAGCCGTATGACATAAACTCAGGATTTATTATTTCCAATTTTTACTGAATGCATAATGAAGAGAAACTGGTCTCCATGGGCTTGTAACTTTCTTTTGTCATGTAGAATCAACCTATCCATTTCTCTTAGATGGTAAATTGAATACTTCAACAGCATGACACTTTTCTTACAGTTTCCTAGATCATTAAGTCTAATGTAACTGATTGAGTAAGTAAAAAGTGCTTGACACTCTCCTATTTCATCCTTAGGTGTTTACAAACCATGCATGAATTGTAATTCTTTGCTTCCTAGTTGATAAAAATAGTAGCTAAAGAACTTACTAAATATCACAGTATTATAATAGTGAAGATATATAGCTCAGGTGGATGATTTGCAATTCATAGTGTTCTCTGAGCTGGTTGGTTTAGTTTCGGAGCTTTCATCGTCCTTCTGGACAACATTTCCAGCGTAATATTTAGCATAAAGTGAAATGATTTAAATTTTTCATGAGTGATATAATTGCGTCTCCCGGTAACCATCTTTACATATGTATTGATAATATATATTTCTTCATATCAATGCATATAGACAATTATGGACATCAGTTTGATTGGGATAATGTCAAAATCTTAGACAGTGGAAACACCAAAAGTGCAGTCAGGGAATTCCTAGAAGCCTGGTACTCAAACAAATATGCAATTAACGAACACGTTAACATAGACCAAATATACCAACTAATAAAAAGTAAATCATGTGAACAGAAGGTTTAAAATCGAAGTCAATCGAAAATGATCAATACATATGTGAAGATGGTTACCGGGAGACGCAATTATATCACTCATGAAAAATTTAAATCATTTCACTTTATGCTAAATATTACGCTGAAGATGTTGTCCAGAAGGACGATGAAAGCTCCGAAACTAAACCAACCAGCTCAGAGAACAGAGCTAATTGCAAGTCAATATTATTCTAAAAATGTAGTCTATGGCTAAGAAAGCTACTCTACAAATCCCCATATTAGCCAGCAGTATAAACTATATTCAGGCTTTTATCCTGACTGCCTTGACATCATTTTTCAACATCTACCGAATCAGATGCTTTCACTTAAGTATCCTCGACTTTAGTAACAAAACCATGGCGGAAATTCGTATATACTTGCAAACAGTTGACTGGAGTGTGATGCTGTCGCTCATTAGTTGGTCTAAGAGCTCAAATTTCAACTACTGGGTCAAATTTTCGAAGCTTAATCCATTCTACATAGTCTTGTGAAGCCAGGTAGTATCACTGTCATCTTAAACAATGGTGGTTGTGTCTCATTGTTAAGTGATTGTTCACCTGGTTATTGACTAGTTTTTATGCCTTTCAAATGTTGACTGACATTCTCCAGTCAATGAAATCTACAACAGTTAGTTTGAGCCAGACGCGTAGGAAGGTGAAGACTTCCTGACTGGTTGGGGTCCTCGGGATGGTAAAAACCAATGGTTGGAAACAATTGGTGATATGGCTCAAAATCGTTCTGAATGGCGCAGAATGGCGCACCCACGTCTTGCAACTTATGATTTCCAATGAAACTATATTGTTCTTCGTTATTACTATTCCTTTGTCTCATACCTCTGTTTACTGTCTCTATTATGCATTTCTTCTGCTTTTTTCTCTTGCTTTGTGTGCTACAAGGAGGGAAAGTGGCGACTGGAACTGCCGCACATCGGTGCAAAGTTCTATGGCGAAAACAGACAGACAGACAGACATTCTCCTTAAACTAGGCGCTTTTCATCATCTGCATTTATCAATAAATAAACAAGGCTCTCGCTACAGGAATGCTTAAATGTAATTAAAAACTAGAAAATGAAACATGTGAAAATCAGAAAAACCTATTTATTGTTTTAATTTAACATACAGTCTAAAAAAATAACAAGTTTCCCTGAACTGTTGTTGGTAAAAAAGTAGGTGGACTGTGGACAATTTGGTTTCAGAAAAATTTTTAAAAAAATAATTAATATAAGAAATGTGAAAGTATAAAATAAGATAGTGAAATTTCAGTTAATATATTATGTACTTCCTAATTAATAGGCAGCGGAAATGTGTTTATAACCTACATTCAATACTGATGAAAACAGGCTGGTCCGAAACACTCAGACCTAATTTATGAGTTTGCTATGTTTGTATTTTACATACTACTTGTGTGTATTTCATGTGTTTTACGATGTTTACTTAAATGATCACTACGCATAAAGCGTTTATTGCATATATTGCATAAGAAACGTTTTTCACCAGTATGTGTACGTAAATGACGTTGTAATTCATCTGATCTAGTAAATGCTTTATTACATAATTCATATATACACTGAAATGGCCTTTCATCATTATGCCATCTTAAATGAGCTTTTAAATGACTTGTTTTACTATAAGTTTTTCCACATATATCGCATATATGTACTTTATGCATTGAATTTCTATTTTCTACATTAAGTTTTTTGATATTGAAACCATTGAAGACATTTTTGTTATTATTATTATTATTAGTGTTGTTTGTTTTCAGATTACGCGCCATTTGACAATTGAAACATGAACATTTTTGACACTTTTTATTAGGATGTGATTTGCGTAATTTTTTATCTTGATATATTGTAGATGTTGATGAGATTATTGTTGTTGGTGAAGTTGAGAATATACATTTCTCATCAATATTATCCCTATTCATGTTATTTCCTGAGGTATGAGAAATATTTGAAAGATTAGTTTGCGCTACTGTTTTGTTCAAGTGTTCAATTGAAGAGTTAAATAAGTGCTGATAATGTAATTGCTCTGAGTTATTTATTTCATATTTACTCAGCATCGATGTAGACAAATTTTGACAAGTTTTATTCATGCTACTGATTTTAGGATGGACTATATTCGACTGAGTAATAGTTGATTGTAATGAATATGTACAAAGTTGTTGAGATTGTTGTTGTATTGGAGTAGATGAGTTAATCGATCTACTGTTGAGTAAACTTTCAATTATACGATTACTGCTTGTAGTAGTCATATTGGTCGGAGGTATAAGATTTTTGTATTCAGTAGAAATTTGTCTGCTTTGAACAGGTCGAAATGCACTTGTTGTATCTGATCGAATACAACCATATATACCTGAGTAAAGAGAATTAGGTGTATTGGTAGTGTATGGTTGTGTTGAAAAGTATTCATTTTTAAGCACTGATAACAATGGAGACTTATTGATTGCTGATGGATTACTTTCTTCAGTTTTTAAATTATGTACATGGGTGTCATCCATTGTCGTTGTTGTTGTTCCTCCTACTGTTGGCTTTATCATTGTCGCTGTTACACTACTTACACCTTGAATCCGATTTAAATGCTCTTCAAGACGAAGTTTCAATACTTTCATTTCTGGACTACTCCAAAAACTTTCTTTTATTTCAACATTATTATTATTATTATCTTCAATTTTTTTAACACACTGATAGGATGAATTCATTATACGTAAGAATTCAGTAGTATAATTTGAATTGTTTAAATTTACTTGTTGATTTATTCTAGTCCCATCAGTAGCGGGATAACTTTTCGGGGATTCCATTCAGGTAGACAATTTATTGGACATTGAATTGATTCAGTAATACTGAAATTACTTTCCCTGGATATTTTCTTTTATCATAATGTATGGAAGGATTTGAAATGTGCAGATTTATTGCTTTTTCTGAAAAACAATCTTCATTTGTTAGATTCATTGCTAAAAAATTTCAGAGAAAAATGAAAATAAAAGATAAAAATCATAAATAGTTTTTTTATCTGTTTATTTTTTAAAAGGGAGAAGTGTTCAGGATGAATTGACTTTATTGTCATTTGGTCGGGTGGTGATTAGTAGTGCAAACTAGAGTGTGCACTTTATCCTATTTAGGACCCATCAATCAAATGAACATGCATCTTCAACGAATGATACTGTTCGAAATCAGCATGCATCTTTTCAAATACCGAAGATGAGGCAGTAACTTATCGAAGAAAACATTGAAAAATGGTCACGCTATGTCGTTAATTGGCAGAAGTTAGAATTCATGAACTGGCCATTGGATCGGGCCCCATTGGCTTAATGGTCTACGAGCTCGCTAGCCTTGTAACCAGAAGGTCCTGGGTTCGAATCCTGGTGGGTGGGTGCGTCCTGATGAGAGTCCAAACTAGGACGAAACAGTTTTACAGGTTTTCAGTGGTTCTTAACTGATAGCAGGTCATGATGAAATCCTTTATGCAATCAAACAAAAATCCCTTCAAAACCAATACCTGAAAAGATCTATCCACTGGATCAAAAGAGCCACTTCTTGTGGAAAGGTTATCAGTTGTTGTTTGTTAGTTTGTTTAAGTTAATTTTGTATTTCCCACTGGTTGATTTATATTCGACCAAAATGCAGACAAGTCGACGTAGATCGAGCATTTTGGGAATGGGAATTTCAAACTAACAAGTTACTGGACTTTATTCATTTAGTTTTTCTAGAATTCTGATAACCAGTTTTATAAAGAACTAACACTTGTTTGTTCCTCTCTTTCATATGAATCCAAACACTTCAGTTAGAATATGACTAACAAAAAAGATCCGTATCTGTTGTATACCCCCCCCCCAGCGTTGTTGTTGAATGGCCATAATTTCGTGTTAATATGACGATCTATATTAAGCATATCAGATGACTTTATCTTTTCCAAATAATTTTCAAGTATTGGTTTTGTAGGGATTTTGTTTGATTGCTTGGAGGATTTAATCATGAGCTGACATCAGTTAGAGAACCACTGGAAAACCTGGGAGTACTGGACAGCTGTTTCGTCCTAGTTTGGAACTCTCCATCAATACGCACTCACCGCCACGGTTCGAACGCAGGACCTTCTGGTTACAAGGCGAGCTCGTAGACCATTGAGCCACTAGGACCCGATCCAGTGGTCCTTGAATTCTAACTTCTGCCAGTTCACGACATAGCGCAACGACTTCGCAATGTCTTCTTCGATGAGTTACTGCCTCATCTTCGACCTGCTGTACCCTACTGGTCACGGCCTCCCACTAGAACCCCAGGTTAGCTGCCTGAATAAGGCCAGATAAATAATGTCTGATAAGTGATACTGGCTCGACATTTGGTCTGTTGACTGATTCTTATTTTTTTTTCGAAATTCTCTCTGAATACACATTATGTGATATTATTATTGGTTTTTAAACTGTTGATTGTAGATAATAAAAGCTCTCTACTCAGTGGTTCGTCTTCTTTCCTTCTTGTGTCGCTTGTAAGTGATATCGTCTTGTGGTGGTCGCCCTTACGAATAGTAATTATAAAAGTAGGCAGGTAAATCTACTAGTTAACAAGTTCGTTAACACAAGAGACTCGTAAACTACTAGACTATATTGATGATCATAAGAATATCTCAGTCTTCAGAGAGTTTAGATGACAATGCTTAAAACTACAATGTGGAAATATATTCGAATATTTTTCCAGTTATACTAATTAATCCATCTCAGGCAAATAAAGTGCAAAAAAACAAACCCGCAGAGTTTTTGAGAATTCTACTAGCTTTGAAATCATCATCATCAGCATCAGTTAAAGAAATATTGGAAATCAAGAGCTCGTAACACCTATTTTACCCTATATTACAATAATTCAGTACTGCTTTGAAAACAGATTGAGCCTAAAAACGTCATTTTTCGAAGCGAGCATGTTACTATGCATCCTCCCGGTCGAAATTCCATGGCACATAGTATTGATCTGTCATAAGATTTCTCTTTGAACGCGGAGTATCTCTGCATACTTAACATATAAAATGTCATTGTTCACTGTTGACTAATTTCAAGTCACTTTCCAAAGATACTCATGCAGTGAAACACACTACAGGGTTAACTAAATCTAATGTAATGAGAATCACTTTATGGATGAAACTAGATAGGAATGGTACTGTGTAGTATATAGGTATTATCTAAAGATATTGGGACTATTAGATAGTTGGAGGCGATCGGCCACAGGAAGCCTTGCTTACCTAGGTTTCGTGCTAGCTGGCACTCACCAGTCAGCAAGGCGTATCTACAGCCTTGAAGGAACTCATGTCCCTTCTGAGATTCGAACCTGCGTCACCCAGTGACCTCTGCAGTCAGAGACGTTACTACTGAGCTATTCGGCTCGTGATTGACCTCCTGTAGGACTGTAGTGGGTATTTTTATTGGAAACTAGTAACTAGTGTGATGTATTTAGTCCTCTTCCCTGGTGCAGACTGAATTCTGTCAGTCAGCTTTTGCAATGTGTTCAATGCTTCCTGTGGCCGATTGCCTACAACTATCTGATACATCATCATATCAACGTGCACCGTGATGGCGAGCTACCTAGAATGGTGGCCACATTGAAAACCTGACTGACTGATCGAATTTAGTTTGCAACAAAGAAAAGGACTAGATACGTCACACTAGTTACTAGTGTCCAATCAAAATATTGGGAATATAATATATATATCACTTTTCGAGATAATCTCACTTCAGTCCACTGAGTGGATTAGAATTCATTTATGCCTAAGATGGATTGGCCATACTCTGAGGAAACCATCAAGTGACATCACTAGACAAGCCATTGCTCGGGTGGAACCCGAAAGGGAAGCGTCTAGTTGGTCGTCATTGTGAGGGTGACTTGGAGGAGGTCATGTAAAGAGGAGATGAAAGCATGTGGGCAGACTTGGAGCGGGGTGAAAAAGTTGGCAGAAAGCAGAAGGCAATGGAGACGCGCAGCTGAAGCCCTCCTATGTTCCTCAAGAAATTGAAGGATAAAATAATGATAATAAAAATATATGCCTAAGACTACTGATGATAATAATATTGTGAAGGATTTTAGCCCTATGCAGCAAAATGACAGAAAACGACAACATGGCAATTCCATGCTATTTGAATCCTCTAGAATTATTCATGTATGATGCAGTGTATGATGACATGACTCACTGTAATATGTACCAGAATTCGAATGTTCTGAATGCATTTGGCCCTCTGAGATGAATAATATCAGGTATTTTTCTATTCCTTCACGTTCCCCAGTGGGACATAGAGCTTCAAGCTAGTGGCTTGAAGTTTCTGTAGCAAGGTTTATTATTTTTTTTACAGGATGGGGTTGCTAGTTTCATGCCCAGCCTTCCCTCTTTACCAGTCTTATTACTGGCTTAGCGAGGTAAAGGAGTGCGTTGGTGGCCGGGGATCGAACCCCGAACCACCTGAGGTGTGGTTGGCGAGCATTCTACCGCTGTGCCACAGACATACAATGTCAGGTATACTAATGATAATTTTGGTCGACTGTTAAGACTACTTCTTTTTGGCCAGCGAACGCCACTGGTTGGTGTGAGTTATATTCAACTACTCTTAAGAATCAAACATTTTATACATAGAATCATAAACGTATTCTTTATTCTGTTTGCTTATTAACAGCTAAATATAAAACTAGTATTGTAAAATTTTCCACTAAATTAAAAAGTGTGAAGCAGTCAGTCAGGGAATTATCGATTGGACTTTACTGGAGATAGGTGCATCGGTGGTCCAGTGGCGAAATGCTCGCCAACCATGCACGCTGTCCAGCTTCGATTCCCGACCCACTTACTTTTATACTTCACTTAACCAGCGGAAACTCCTGTAAAAGGGGGATGGTAGTGACCCCAATTCCCGTATGTGTAAAGAGAAACTCAATACCTACTCGAGAGAAATTTTACTGCCATATACTATAATCATCAGATAGTTTAATCAAACTGTCTGTATGCAAACATCAAATTTAAAATACTCTCAGTCATTCGGTATACAAAAGTAGAAAAAAGCTTTCAATCACTGTGTTAATACACCTAAAAATTATTACCAGAGAAGAAAACGGATATCACAAGAACTAAATCTTAGGCAGGAATACACAGCAGAAGTAAAAATTGATAACTCATATCTGAAGATAATGACTAGATGTGACAAAAAAATTCGAAAAGTAGACAAAGTTCACTATGCAGTGTACCAGATAGGTAATAAAGAAAGACAAAGTTAATCGATATTCAATTATCCCCTCAATTTTATGCAAAATGTAAATGTTTTGGTCAGGATAAACTTGAACAACTTTGTAAAAGAAAACAGTCAGTAAGCTATATTCAATTGTCATGAGATGATTTAAGATAACCCTCCACATTTTCAAGAGTTGGTTCGTAGAGAGATGATATGTTTCAGGTTTGATCACAGAATGATGTCATTTAGATAACCCCTGAAAACCAGAGAGTGGTGGACAGTCGTTTCTTCCCTCCTCAGTAGTACGCACTCATAACCCTACTGAGGATTGAACCCACGACTTTCAGGGTACGAAGCCAAGCTCGTTGACCATTCATCCACTCAGACAGGAATTGAATAGTTCATGAACTCTAACTTCTGTCAGCCGCGATTTGAACGCGCTTCATTTGCTAAAAAGTCCGAAACTAGGACTAAATAGATGTCCAGTACACCCTGATTTCCAACAGTTTTCCAACTGCTGAAAATCTGTGATCAGATCTCCTCATTTTGTCAGTTGAATGCCAACAGAGACGAAACTACGGTCAGAGTTAAAATGAAAACATTGTATGGACTGAGTTACTTAACTTCATTAATGACTGGGCTTCTCCCAGTATGACGCTGAAAAAGGCAGAGCTGTGTAACACTAACTTAAAATGAAATCCTGTATGATTAAAGTTAACTGTTCTTAAGAGACCACGGGTTCAAATCCTTTCATGACTCAA